AGTTAAAATCATTTTGCGTCAGCCCCACTGTCTTCCAAAATGAACAATGGTGAGAGGAAAATGATCATTCCAGCCTTCAGTAATGGTACCAGCATTTGTACCCTGGCTTCCATCTTCAAAGTCTATTCAAAAACTATCAAGAGAATGGCGAATAAGTTTAAAAAACTAACAGTAGAGAGGGAAATTGGATCAGTAGGTAACAACAGGAAAAGTGATCATCATTTCAACTTAGAGCTAAAGAGATCAATTGGAAAAGATCCAACTAAATCCATAAGACTTTGGCATGTGAGAGAGGAGTTTCAGCTATGACAGTCCAAAAAGCAGTGAAAAAAGACTTGAAAATTAAATGATACATGAAACCTGTTAGGCACTATATTACTCCAGGACAAATTTAGAAGGTTAAAGAGGGCAAAAATCCTCTTGAGTAAGTTGAAAAATGATCATGGAATAATATATGTATATTTGAACTTTATTTCAATCCTACATGAGCTTCCAATACTTAGCTATGATTAATTAATGATGAACATGTCATTTTTTTTTTATGATCAATTTCATCACAATTCTTCTGTTAAGCTTGGAGAGTAATTATACATTCTTATTGCTCAAAGTAGAATCCAATAGTGTTATAAAAGCCTTGGAGAATTCCTGTAAGATATCTCTAATCATTTCTAAGATGCAACGGTTCAAAGCTTAATTTAAGAATTAGACAATTTTGCTGTTACACTTGATATATCTAACAATAACAATGAGAACTTGAAACAAAATATCCTCACCCTTTGAAGTTTACTCCAGTAAAAGCACTGTTTATCCTTGGCAAGAGTATTTTGTGACTGAGTAGATTTTATTACTCATTATACATAAGTGTTATTCAGAGTAATATCCTTAACTTTAGTGCTTTTTTCAATCACTGATCAGTTGAAAAATTGTGATAAAAACAAAGTTGAAAATACTAGTTCAAATAATTTAAAGAAAAAAGGAAATTACTCTATCTCAAAACTTCAGACCACTTTTTTTAACCATTGAATTTTAAAGCATTTAATGATATTTAATTAGATCATACTTTTTTGTATGCTCTATGTTTTCAAAATATATATTTCAGTTAATAATGTTGTCATTTTCATTAGGGTTACATCTCAAATGATGGTAGATATTTTCAAAAGAACATGTGTAATGCCAGAAGAGAAGGGAAATTGTAATGCAATAATATTTCCAGTTGAAAGTGCCTTCTCTTGTAATTTAGTATTTGAAATCTTTTGGAAACTTCTATTCTGCATACCCCAATATCTCTCTCTCTCTCTCTCTCTCTATCAGATTATAAACTCAGTTGTGTTTAAATATCATTGTCTGTAAAATACAATTAAACATATTTTCAATCCAGTTTTAATTCTGTATTAATTATTCAACAAAATCACAAGTTCATTATTTTTCTTAACAATAATTCATCTTCTCAAAGTATATTAAATAAAATTCATTGTTAATGTATAAGCTATCAAAATGAAATAAAAGTAATAAATCCCAGAGTAAATGAAATTATCAAATGTCAGGTTAATTTGCATGTCAAGTTGACCTCAGCAAATATGAAAAGAGCTTGTGCCTGTACAAGTCAAAAAATGATTTTCAGTTTTTTTGTGAATAACTTACAAAAAACTCCGATAGTCTCATTGACTGGTAATGATAAGAAACAAAAAATAGGTAGGGACAATTTGTTTTAAATATAACAAATGAACACAGAAAACAATGATTTTCCATGTTCAGAACTTTGGAAGCATTATTCATATCTGTATATCTACTGTCATTAACTCAATTTTTATTGGCTATATATTTCAGAATGACTAAACACTTTTCATCTTTGGCCTTTAACAGCCATTCTTCTATTAGTAAAATAAAAAAATATGAGTTTTTATATTCAGTTCTTTCCTTTGAAAGTGGCAGATATTCATTCTTTTGTGCATGCATCTATGTGTTTGCTTCTGTATATTTGTTTTTAAGTAAATAAAAACTTCATTCATTTATGGTTGCTGAGAATACCAGTATTCCAAACAACTTTACAGCATTTCCTGTATTTATACACACTCACTCAAATATACTTGCATCTATTTATACTTATGTATACAAACCTAAACAGAAATATTTGTGTGTTTATTTAAAAGCATTTTTATAGCAGGTAGAGAAAGGAAACTACAAGAACTCCTACAGAAGGTAGTGAAGGAAAGTGAGAAGAAAGAACTAAACATCAATTGCAAATAGAATGCATGGTTGTAAGAAAAAGAAACAGCCCAACATACAAATTACAAATTTGAGATACCAAAATGAAACAGGTACAACAATTTAAATATCTTGGAAGTGCTTTAACAGAGAATGGAAAATGTGATAATTAAATCTGATGGTCAACTGGGATAGTGAAAGATGTCTTCCAAAAGCTAGTATGGCAGTTAATGTTGGGCAATCTCCTCACAGATGAAGAAGAGACTTGAAGTAACAGAAATGTGGTTCTACAGAAGGATTCTCAGAATACCATGGACCAAACATGTGAGCAACAATGGTATTTTAGAAAAAATGGAAACAGAAAGGCTACTTATACATAGCATCAGAAAGAGATAGCTGACATTTCTAAGACATATATGAGGAAAGAGGACTTGGAAAATTTGCTACTCACAGAACATACGGAAGGCAATAGGGACAGAGGAATGCAGTGCATAACAAGCTTGTGTAAATGGTTGGCAGAACAGAGATTAAGAAATATAATGAAAAGACAAAAATTACTAGGGGCTATAATGAACAGGAAGTTATGGTGAGCCATGATCACCCACGTCCTGAAAGACATGGTACATAAAAGAAGAGTGGCTGATATACATTACATTTCATGCTAAGCTATTTTCAATTTTTGTTCTATCCCTTGATTTACTTAATGAGTAAATAAAAAAAAAACAAAAAAAAAAAAACAGTAACATTAGAGAATTTTTGTACCATAAAAATATCTTGTTATTTTAAAAGCCTCCAGTGCATAATACTCGACATTGTACTCAAAGAGGAAAATGTGTATTTATATCACTATTCTTGTCTTGTCTTTCTTTTCTCTTTTGTTTTCCTTGTTCTGGTTCTGAGTTTTCTTTGTTTTTGTTCCCTCATGGAATTGCATGTATCATCATGCATATTGATAATCATTATTTCATTATGCCCATTCACCTCAAAGGAAATGAAGTTTATCAAGTTTTATAACAGATCAATAATTGAAAAGTCAATAAAATTGCAGAAATCTGTTTTTCTGGCAGCATATAACGGAGAAATTACCCTCTTAAAATATTTTTCTTTCAACTCAAACAGCTTATATTAAGCAAACTTTTATTTATTAATTTTGCTTTTCATGCTTTTTATTATCTCTTATCTCATATCTAATTTATTAATAATTTATATTTATCTTATTTTAGTTATTTTGTAATATGCTTTTTAATTAGATATGCATTTGTTGCATATCCATATTAAATTTAATTTATTGTTAATATATTTATTGCTTGAATGTTATTTGCACACATACACAGGCTTATGAATTTTCATATAAAGTTATCTCTCTCTCTCTCTCTCTATATATATATATATATATATATATATATATATATCATTTACACACATACACAGATATGGATTTACATATAAACTTATCCTTAAATATGTGTGTAAAGTTAGACTTGTTAAGCATATACATATTTATTTTACATATGTTTGTGTACACACACACACACACACACACACACACAAATATGCTAGGTTGTATATTCATTCCACTTGTATGGATATATGTGTACATATCTGTCACATATATCACATATGCTATCATCAAAATAAGCAGAATAGAAAAGATAAGGAAAAGAGAAAAGAGTTACCAAATATTATCAATTCATTTTGAAACTAATTTTCCCTCACATTATGCTGTGGTTAAAATACAGTTACTATAAGTGCTTCATTATTTCCATGATTTTCACTAGATACTCCAAATACAAAGCCTTGTAGCAAACTTGTTTTTACTTTTATAGTTATATTTGATATACTGAATAATTAATCAATACATTATATTTCCTACTTGTATATTTATATGTAAATAAAGAGATTAAGTGAATATCCATTAATTTTGATTAGATATTGAAGTTTAAGAGAGCAAGAAGAAAGGATTAACCATTAATTGTGAGAAGATAATGCATGGTTTTCAGTGGCAAAATAGACAGCCCAGTTTCTGAATTATGTATCAAGAACATTAAAATCAAGCATGTGTGGAAATTTAACTATATGGATAGTGTAGTAATGAATGATGGAAAATGTGATACAAAAATATGAAAGTGCCTTTTAGAAAATAAGCAAAATATTAAGAGATTGAAAAATGTCCACAGAAACAAAGAAAATTCTATTGAATTGCTCTTTTAATGTCTTCTGTACAAAAGTGTAATGTTGAATAATTTCTTCACAGATGAAGAAGAGTTGTGATTCTACAGAGAAATGCTGAGAATACCATGGACAGATCACATATGAAAGAGAGGTTTTAAGTGACTAGAAACTACAAAGAAACTTCTGCCAATAATAATGAAGAGAAAGCTAAAATTTTGGGGCTGCATATTGAGGAAAGTAAGCTTGAAGAATTTAACACTCCCAAGATATGTTGAGGATAAAAAAGTAAGGGAAACTAGTGAGTAACCTATTTAATGAGTGAGTAAATAGATAGCAGAACAAGGACTACTAGGAAAAAAAGGGGAGTAAAAAGGTAAGAGTTAATTAAAGCAACAAGGAACAGGAAGTTGTGGAGATCTATGACCACACTCATCCTGAAAGAATGTGGCATACATAAAAAAAGGAAATGCACTAATGAAATTAAACGATGTATGAAAATTTTCACACACATGCACATTATCACATCATACATAGGTTGATAAATATAAAGTTTTAGATGGACAAATTGAAATAAATACATAAATGAACTGACCAAGATAGATAGATAGGTAGGTAGGTACAGGTTAAGATACAAATGAACAGAGATAGATAGATAGATAGATAGATAGATAGATAGATAGATAGATAGATAGATAGATAGATAGATATGAAAAGACTGAGATATATATATGAACTGATCGAGATACACAGAAACATATTCAAGGAGAGAGATTGTCATAAGTAGACAAAGATATATTTGATATATGATTATAGTTTTATGTAATTTTTATCTTAGAATGTTTATGACAGTTTAATAAATTTTACTTCCCATCTGACATAAAGAGCAGTTTATGGTCGAATACAGCTTTCTGATGTTTCCTGGATGAAAATATGCTACACTATATTTCTGTTGACTTTTTTGGGTGGTGCTGTCATCATGAATATAGTTGTAATTATCATTGTTATTGATATTGCATATAATTATCATCGTCAATATTATGACAATTGAGATGTTTTGCTTATTGATTTTCCATATCATTTCATCTCAGATATAACAGTCATATGTTCATCCAATAATTTATATTAAATTGAGGCATCAGAGATCTGATTAAAGGTTAGGCAAATGCACTCACACACACTTTGAAATTCACAAACAGATGCCTGTGTATAACTATCTAATTACATATGCCTACTCAATTACATGTACCAATATGTCCTAATACATGGAATATATATATATATATATATATATATATATATGACTAATGTTTATTTGGGCAGTAACCTTTCTTTTAAACATTTTTTGTTAAATATAACAAATAAGGAAAATTTTTATAATTTTTTTATTTAACTTTTCCTGCACTCTTACATTTTTTCATCTGGTGAATGAGGGGGAGTGCAAAAACTTTCCATACTATTATATATATATATATATATATATATAAATAATATATATATATATATAAAGTTAGATAGATCCACACACTTAGGCTCCCATAATAATACACATGTACCCAAGCATACTTAAACATACGTAAATTTGTATTATGATAATGCATGCTCATATGTATTTCATATGCTAGAATATTAAAAATATTTTATTGCTTAATTATAAGCAAATACCTAATGAAAAGACTAAAGAGATGGATTTGAACAGAGTCAGGTAAGCAAAGATATTAACAAGACTAAGTATGATGAGAAAAATGGAGTATACAGAAAGATATGAACAGTGCTGAACAAGAAAAGAAATACAGAGTATGCACACAGGTGGGAAACACACTCAGGTAGGCAGAGACCTATACGAACAGACTCGGCTAGGCAGTGAGATATATGACCAGGCTCAGGTAGAGAGAGAGATATATGACCACACTCAGGTAAGCCGATAGATATATGACCAGGCTCAGGTAGGCCAAGAGATATATGACCAGGCTCAGGTAGGCCAAGAGATATATGACCAGGCTCAGGTAGGCCAAGAGATATATGACCAGGCTCAGGTAGGCCAAGAGATATATGACCAGGCTCAGGTAGGCTGAGAGATATATAAACAGACTCAGGTAGGCCAAGAGATATACCAGGTGTCCCAAAAGTCACCTAGATATCTAAAATATTTCATAATATGTCATATTTTTCATATTTTTTTTTCTTTTTTTCAGAGCTTTGATTAACACAGAGAAATAATCCCTGAAAAAATTCACAACTGAACAAAGAACCAAAATCTTGGAATTTTATTTTGGATTTAATCAAATTTTTTCTTACTTGATATTTTCATGAAATTCTGAAGTTTTATGGACACCATGTTTTCTTGATTTGATGCAACCCGATTGTCTTTGGATAGGATTATACCTTAAGGAGGGTATATGCATCAATAAACTGCAGACAATTCAGCAAATTAAAGATAACATCCATACAAAAATTTGAAGCCTGCAGACTGAGTTATTAAACACTTTTATCAGGAAAGCTATTGAAAGAATGCATTTGTATGATGTAAAAAATGGAAGATATTGACATTATAAAAATTTTCATGATTTAAAATGTTTGAATTTACATTCTGTATAAAACCATTTTTGAACAATAAAAAGAGAGATGAAATAGATAAATTTCTAAATCTCTAGGTGGCTTCTGGGACACCCTGTACAGAGCCAGGTGGGCAGAGAGATATATGAATAGAGCTGGGTAGACAGAGATATATACAAAGAGACAGGTAGGTACAGGGATTTATGAATAATCTCAGGTTGACAGAGTAATTTATGAAATCAACTGGGTAAGCAGCAAGATGTGGAGAGAGTCAACTGTAGATAGAAAGACATGAATAGGCTTAGTGTTGTGTCGGAAACCAACCACCCCTCTTGAAGATAAACTTGTCTGCGAGCAAAGACGTTAAATAGTGGCATGTCAAAAGACAGTCAGAGTAGTTCTTAGCTGAGCTAGTTACTGACTACTCAGGCGATTTCTGTACCTGTTTACCAACCTATTAAAACCCTTTTTATTGTTACGTGTTATTTGGCATTTGTCTCTACTAATCCCAAATCAACATCATAACAGTGGCGACGAGAGATTCGTTCATCATGCTGAGTGGAGAATTTTTCAACTCTAGGTGGACTATATAAATTTTTTTTTTCTCGCTCTGAAAAAAAAAAAAAAAAAATACGTTGAACTTTGTTCTTCACAAAGAATTGGGATTTCAACGTGCCAAAAAGAAGTAAGACTTGTGCTTATTGTGGACATATGTGTTTTCTTCCCTTTTTAACTGTTTTCGAAAAGTGTTTTGTGTAATTTATTACGCATAATGGAAGATTTAATTGCATTAACGAAAACTCTAGTGCAAAGTCAAATTCAGCAACAAGAGCAACAAAAATTGCAACAAGAGCAACAAAAATTGTTTCGGGAACAACTATTGGATTTAAAAGTTCAGCAGCGAAATGACACAAAGGCTTTATTTGAAGCGATTTTACTTAAGAATCCAGTAAATTCGCCATTCACGGCCGAAGGTATTGCTAATTCTATTACTGAGTTCAAATTTAACCCAGAGGAGGGCATAACATTTCCTGCGTATTTCAGAAGATTTGAAACAATATTTGAAAAAATGTGAAGGTTGGACTGATGAACAAAAAGTGAGTTTACTTTTACAAAAGTTGGGTACAGATGAAAATAATAAGTATACGAATTTTGTACTTCCAAGAAAAACTGCTGACATTTCTTTCGAAGAAACTGTTAATACTTTATCTAGTATTTTTGGCGAGCGAGTTAGTTTGTTTCATACTCGTTTCTCATGTTTGAATATGGTAAAGCGTTACGATGAGGATGTTGTTACGTATGCTGGAAATGTTAACAGAATGTGTGAACGTTTTATGTTACATGATCTTTCAATTGATCGATTTAAATGTTTGATATTCGTTCAAGGCAAAGATAATGTTTGATATTCGTTCTAGCAAAGATAAGGACATAAGGTCCCGAATATTGGCAAAACTCGAACAAAATTCCGAGATTACTATGCAGAAGGTTACGGAAGAATGTCAAAGAATTGAAAACTTAAAACATGACAATACGCAAATTGAAGAAAAAGACGTATCCCGTGTCCATGCTATTCGACCAAAAACGGGAATAGTTAATAAAAACGTTAAAAAACCAACGTGCTTTGGATGCAGTGGTGGTCATTTTAAAAGTAAATGTTTTTTTCGCGACAAAAATTGCTATTCATGTGGCAATAAAGGCCATATAAGTACTCATTGTAAAAGCAAAAGAAAAAAATTTAAGTCGAAAAAAGATGTGACTATTGTATTGTCACGTCAGGAGATTGAGGAGGGACAGAAAAGAAAATTCGTACAGGTAAAAATTAATGGAAAAAATGTTAAACTACAGCTAGACACTGGAAGTGATATTTCCATTATTAATACAGCAACATGGATTAAAATAGACAGACCTTTGCTTAAAAAGACTGAAAAAGTGGCTCGCGGGATTTCTGGAAGAAAATTGCATTTTCAAGGTGAATTTTCTTGTAATATTTCATTTGTTGGTAAGACACTAAAGTCTATGTGCTACAAAATGCTTCAAATTTGTTTGGAACAGATTGGATTATACTTTTTAATTTATGGGAACTCCCTATAAATTCTTTTTGCAATAGAATTAATGTTTCTTCTCCGTGTAAAAATCGGGTTACAGAAAATTTGGTGAAAGATCTGAAAATAATTTCCGCAAGTATTTTCAGAAGGTCTTGGATGTTGTAAAAAGACGAAGGCAAAATTTGAAGTGAAGGAAAATGTAAAACCTATTTTCGAGCGAAAAAGAAATGTGCCATTTGGTGTCTTGGAACAGATTAACAAAGAATTGGAACGGCTTGAAAATTTAGGAGTTATTTCACGCATTGAATTTTCAGAGTGGGCCTGCCCTGTTGTATATGTTAAGGAAAAGAATAATAAAATTCGGATGTGTGCTGATTTCTCTACAGGTCTAAATGATTGCTTAAAAGATCACACATAACCTTTGCCTTCACCAGAAGACATTTTTGCAAGTTTAAGTGGAGGAAAAATATTCTCTAAATTGGATTTATCGGATGCCTATCTCCAAGTGAAAGTGGACGAAGAATGTTGACTATCAATACACACAAGGGTTTATACAAATTTAACCGTTTGCCTTTTGGTCTAAAAGTATCCCCTAGTATTTTTCAGCAAATTATGGACACTGCGCTGGGAGGGTTGGACTTCGCCATTGCATATCTTGATGATATTTTGATAAAAAGTAAGGATCGAAATGAACATTTGGAACATATTAATCAGGTTTTTGAAAAAATTGAAGAATATGGATTCAAACTTGCAGCTGAAAAATGTGAATTTTTTATGAGTGAAATTAAGTTTTGGGGGCAGATAATAGACTCTGATGGAAGAAGACCAGATCCGGCGAGGGCAGAAGCGATCAAAAGCATGCCATCTCCCAAAAATGTAGTAACGCTACAAGCGTTCTTAGGACTTGCTAATTATTATGGGATATATATTCCTAATTTGTGCAGCCTTACGGCTCCATTAAATAAATTGCTTAAAAAGGGAGCAAAGTGGGAATGGTCAGAAGGCGTTTGACAAAATAAAGAATATTTTGACGTCGGAATTATCACTAACACATTATGACCCTAAACAGGAAATTATAGTGGCATCGGACACAAGCGAGTACGGAATAGGTGCGGTAATTCTGCATAAATTCAGAGACGGCAATACGAAGCCAGTGGCACATGTATCAAGGACATTATTACCCGCAGAAAAGAAGTACTCTCAAATTGAGAAAGAAAGCTTAGCTATCATCTATGCTTGTAAAAAATTCCATAAGTACACACATTGAAGAAGGTTTATATTGCAGACCGACCATCGCCCGCTGCTTTCAATCTATGGTTCGAAGAAGGGTATACCTACTCATACGGCAAACCGTTTGCAACGATGGGGAACCATTTTGTTGAATTACAATTTCAAAATGGAATTTTTATCATCTAAAAATTTAAGCAATGCTGATGGTTTATCTAGGCTGATCCCAACGTCTTCGGAACCGCTAGAAGATACGGTGATAGCGTCGTTACAAGCAGAAAATGAATTGGTGGAAGTAATGTATAACACAGTAAAAGAATTACCGGTGACATTAGATGAAATAAAATTAAAAGCAGAAAAAGACATTTTTATTAGAAAAATGAAAGAAGTTGTAACTTCAGGAAAGTATAAAACTTCTTCACCAGCATATTCAATATGTGATGAAGTGCTGTTATATGCTGGAAGGGTCGTGATACCGGTTGTACTACAAAAGCGGATTTTGAAGGAATTTAATCAGGGGCATCCTGGTATTGGACGTATGACAGCCTTGATGAGGAGTTACATTTATTGGCCAAATATGGACAAGGACATTGAACAGGTAGTTAAAACTTGTAGAGGGTGTCAAATGGCAGCGAAAGCACCGCCAGTAAAATACACACCATGGCCAAAAACAGATGTTTCATGGACCAGACTCCACAGAGATTATGCTGGACCCATGAATGGTAATTTTTACTTGATAGTTGTGGATAGCTATTCCAAGTGGCCTGAGGTTTTTAAGTGCAAAAGACCAACTGCTTCTGTAACAAAAGATTTTCTTACAGAACTGTTTGCACGGTTTGGAGTACCAGAAAAAATTGTCACCGACAATGGAACTCAATTCATTTCCTGTGAATTTAAGACGTTTTGTAAGACTCTGGGAATTGACCACATCACGACTTCACCGTACCATCCTAGGTCAAATGGACAGGCTGAACGGTTTGTTGATACGTTCAAGAGAGCCCTTAAAAAAACAAATGGTACTAATACAGATGATGGTAATATACAGCAGTTTTTAAGTATATACAGAATAACACCAAATCCAAACGCAATATCAGGGATGTCTCCAGCTGAACTGATGTTTGCTAGAAAAATTAGATCTGTATTCAATAGGCTGCTGCCGAAAAGAAAAAAGAGTTACCAGAACAAAACGCATCAGGAAAATATGAAATATTTCAGTTTTTTTTTTTTTAAATTACAAAAATGGGAAGGAATTTTGGCAAAATGGAGTGGTAACGCAAAGAATTGGTAAGATGTTGTACATGATAAGAAGTAAAAAATGGACGCACAAAAGACATTTGAACCAATTAAGGAGAAGAAACATTGAAGAAATAAGTAAAGATAATGAAGAACCAATGGAGGTATTATATGATTTATTTGATATACCAACTCCACCATTGCCTGAAACAGTTGTCCAAAGAAGGACAAGCAAAATAAAAAGAACTAGGGTGGAACGTTTAAGTCCAGATCCCAAAACAAAAGATATTAATTCCTCCGGAATTAATCTCAAGGGGGAGGTGTTGTGTCGGAAACCTACACCCCTCTTGAAGATGAACTTGTCTGCGAGCAAAGACGTTAAATAGTGGCATGTCAAAAGACAGTCAGAGTCGGAGCAGTTCTTAGCTGAGCTAGTTACTGACTACTCAGGCGATTTCTGTACCTGTTTACCAACCTATTAAAACCCTTTTTATTGTTACGTGTTATTTGGCGTTTGTCTCTACTAACCCCAAATCAATATCATAACACTTAGGTAGGCAAAGATATGTGAAAAGAATCAGATAGATAAAGACATATGAAAAGAATCGGGTAGGTAATGAAATGTGTAAAGAATCAGGTAGGCAATGAAATGTGTAAAGAATAAGGCCAGCAAAGAGATATGAACTCACTCGGGTAGGAAAAATGAGATATGAACTAACATGGGTAAAAAAATTAGATATGAACTGACATAGGTAGGAAAAATGAAATATGAACCGAATTGAGTCGGAAAAATTGGATATGAACCAAATCGAGTAGGAAAAATTAGATATGAAACAAATCGAGTAGGAAAAATTAGATATGAACCGAATCAGGTAGGAAAAATGAGATGTGGGACGACTTGGGTATGAAAAATGAGATGTGAACCAACTCGGGTAGGAAAAATGAGATGTGAAACGAGTTGGGCAGGAAAAAAGAGATGTGAACCAACTCGTTAACGCAAATAGAGATATGGACTGACTTGGTAATGCAAATAGAGATATGGACTGACTCATTTACACAAAAAGAGATATGAACTGACCCAATAACAAAAAAGAGATATGAACTGAATTGATAACGCAAAAGAGAAATGACCTGACTCAGTAACGCAAAAGAGATATCAACTGACTCAGGTAGAATTAAAAGAGATATGAACTGACTTGGGTAGGGAAAAAAGATGTATGAACCGACTAGGGTAAGAAAAAAAGAGGTATGGACTGACTCGGGTAAGAATAAAAAAAAAAACTGGGTATGAACCGAATCGGGTAAGAAAAAAGAGGTATGAACTGACCTTCTAATGCGAAAGAGATGTGAACTGACTCGTTAATGCAAATGGGATGTGAACCGACATGGTAACACAAAAGGGATGTCAACTGACATGGTAACGTAAAAGGGTGTGAACCGACATGGTAATGAAAAAGGGGTGCAAACCAACACGGTAATGCAAAAGGGATGTAAACCGACATGGTAACACAAAAGGGATGTGAACCAACTCGGGAACGCAAAAGGGATGTGAACCAACTCGGGAACGCAGAAGGGATGTGAACCGACTCAGGAACGCAAAAGGGATGTGAACCGACTCAGGAACACAAAAGAGATATGAACTGACTCGGGTATGCAAAAGAGATTTGAATAGCTTCAAGTGAACAGGGTGATATGAACAGAGCGAGAACTGGGCTGAAAGATATGAATAGAATCAGGTGGTCAGTAAGATATGAACAGACTCTATTGAACAGAGGTATATGAACAGAGCCAGAGGTGGGCAGAAATATATGAACAGACTGAGGTAAACAGAGAGATGTGCACAGACTGGTGAAGGCAGAGTGATATAAACAGACTGGTGAAGACAGAGAAAACAGACTAACAAAGGTATAGGCAGAAATATATGATGACACTCAGGCAGGCAGAGAGATTTGAACAGAATCAGGTAGTCAGAGATGTATGAATAGAGTTGTGTAGACAAAGAGATATTAAATGAGTTTTTCTAAATCTGTAGATAATATTCATGATCATGAATCTCATAACCCATTAGGGTCATAGGAGCACAACATATACTGTAGCTGTAGCAGCAGTGGTGTGTCTTGGGCAAGTGAACCTGACAGAGCCCAACCCTATCCAGGTTGGTTTAAATTCGAAGTTTTCTTTCTACCAGACTGGTTGCCAATCAAGGTTATATCACCCAGACTGTTCTGCTATTTACCCATGACTGGTGGGGAAGAAGTGATGAATTCATACCTTTCCCAAGGGTATTTGCATGTAAGTAAATGTAACAAACTTGGTTTTCTGATTTCTCATTTTTTTTTTTTTTAAGCGTTTCACCCCAAGCAAGGCGGGAAGCCACTAGGATGCAAGGGGTTACAGGAAATAGCAAGATCAGATAGGAGTGATAGAAGAAAGGATGAGGGTAGTGGATAGATCAAGGCAACTGGAGATGTCGATTGACATTACACTTGAATAGCTGGAGATTATAGCTCGCAGGGAAACAGGAGAAGGGAAGGGAGTTCCACAGGCGAGAGGTGCGAGACATGAAGCTATTAGAGTAGAAGAGACGGCTACATTTAGGAGTTTCGACAATGAAGGGGTGAGAGCGGGATGCCAACCTCATAGGACGCTGGAACTCATGACATCTGGGAACCAGCGAATGCACCTCCCCGGAGCAATTTCCATGAAAGTATTTGTAGAACAGACAGAGGAGGCGGACGCAAAGGCTGTGAGAAAGTGACAGTAGACGAGACGCCAGGGCAGGGCCAACCATATTGCATATCCACTTCTGGAGCCTATCAAGAACCCCGAGGCAAACAGGAGGGGCGCCAGACCATATATGGCAGCAATACTCCATGCAAGGGTGAATTGTGGATTTGTATAGCTGGAGGATTGACTCAGGGAGAAAACTTCCTAGCGCGGCTCAGGAGCCAACTTTCCTCGCAGTGGACGAGGCAATTGACTCGATGTATTTATTCCATCTCAGGTCAGCAGTCAACGTGAGACCGAAGCCGCAGAGAGTTGCTCTCGAGAAGTTGAGCGTCAGACATTCTAATGGAGGGAAGGGAAGGCTCTCTGTGGTGATTAATAGAGAGCAGTTTTGTCTTCGAAGCATTGAAGTTGACCAGCCAATTCATGCCCCAGTTCACAATCGATTGGAGGTCCTTTTCGAGACGCACGGCAAGGTGAGTTTTGTCAGCGAGACTAGAATGCCTCTATCCATTACACCACCTCCACATTCACCAGGCAAGCAATATCATTTCAGCCTGCTTGAGTAAATATTCTCATTTTTTTTCAGTGTAAATATATTTTTAAAAAAATCAAATATGAGATGAAATTTTTGTTAAGTATTAATCAACATTCATGAGAAGCAGCCTCAATAGCATACATATCAAATCTTTTTCACTCACCATAGATTCTATCTATTTCTCATAACGGAAAACATTTGTTTTCTGTCACAAATAACAATTTGAGCCATATTCAATTATCTTTTATCATTCTCCTTCTATTTCCAACAATGTATCTTAACAACAGTGGCAGTTATAAAGACCAAATCAAAATTATACACCAGATTTCTAGGTATTGTCCATAGTGTGCATTGACAGTGAATTTATCACAACATTAAAACAATCTTGTCAATAATCAACAGTAAATTTACCACAGCTATTAACTCCAAAGTGCAGATATAGTTATGTCCATTATTTGAAAATTTCAATAACAAAATCTAATTCAACTTGAAAGAGTGTAAATGTTCTGTTCACTTGTAAAATGTGTTAGCGGATAATCAGCTCTTGTTAAAATCAACATCTCATCAAAGTTTAAGAGATGAAAATGAACATTGTCTTAAAATCATTTAAGATTCAGTTTTCATAATTTTCCTTAATGACTCATTAATCTGGATCTTCAAAGGCTTCAGAAAATTAAAGAGGCTCATACAAAAAAAGAAATGTTGGTCAAAAAAAATAAACAAAAAAAAACTTGTGTCTTTGAAATTTATGTGTTTTAAATGGATAATGCATAAAACTATTTTGGTCTTTATCTATTCACTTACTTGTTTCTTATGAATCATATAAGTAGCCCAAATGTTTTGGGTATAAGATATGTAACATTAATAGTTCCCAATAATATCTTTATTGTTATTATTTTCTTTTAACATGTTACTTTATGCAGAAAATCACTCACTTTGTCGCACTGAGATCTATTTATGATGCTTCTATATTCACTCAATCATTGATGTTAAATTTATCCAAAAGACATTGAACTGAAATTAATCATTATCAAAATTCTTCAGTCAAAATGCTATCCTAAATAATAAAAAAAAGCTGAACAAAATCATTTAACACTATTTACATTGTTTAGACTGTTGTCCTCATCTTTATTGTCATATTCATGACATTTTGGCCATTGTACTCTTTGGCTTAATGGGTTTAGTTCGAAATTCCAACATATATCACTTGAGGAAGACCAGAGTGCACAACAGCTGAAACATCAGGAATATGACAATAAAGATGAGGATCACAGTCTGAATAATGTAAATAGTTGCAATACTCATCTCAGAAATATTGACAAAATCATTTATATCTTATCAAAATAAATATTCATACTTTTGTTGTTTAAATATACTAAAAATGCATTATTTAAATTCTACAAGGGTCAGTTAAAAGGGAATGCCAGTTCTAATTTAATTTGAAAACTAATATAATTTCTATGCTTTTTTAATTATAAGCCATACAGTGTCTAGAGACCCTGGAGAAAATTTAGGGATTTAACTTTTCTTTTTCTGCCTATAATCTTCTTTTAAAATAAGTGGTCCTTGGTGCACACATAGAAAGCAATGAGCTGTCATGGAATTTCAGTTTTAGGAAGGAGAAAGTACTGTAAATATTCACAAGAGGTTATTAAATATTTATGCTAAGCATGCTAAGGAAAAAGGTTAATAGAGTTAGTAATAATCTGAAAAAAGAAAAAAGAAATTGAATTTTATGACAGGCCTCATAGTGACAGTCCTGCTACTGTTATGAACAAAGAGGGTGTAGAGGCCTAATAGGCTGATGCTCTCATTACAGCTGAGAGAAGAATCACTACCTCAAAACTCTTTGAATACCTTCAGGTGATTCACAATAGCACCTGCAATTTAGTACCATCTGTTGGCTACTCAAAGACCTGTGCAAAGTGAAGTCTCATAACGCTGACAGATTCTATGGAGAAGCAAGTGGTTGGTTCCCAAGATCATCTGCTGCTGCACAACATAGAGAGCACTCAGAGAACAGTTGTTCTCCAGTTATGATCAGGTGAAAGAGGTAACTCAAAACTGGCTAAGAAAGTAGTCAAGAAGCTTCTTTGCAGTTCATAAACTCGCTGTCATTCAAAGGTGCAATACCAAGATTGAGGAAGGAGATTAAGTTGATAACTAGATTTGGAATCTTGAGACTTGTGTTCCTTTTGGTATTTTATGTAATTCTATGAAATCCGCTGTAATTGATGAAAAATAGGCATTACTGTTTGACCAGCCCTTTTATTAGTAATATCTAATAAATCACTTAGGCATCAATAACTTTCATAACTTTATCTCAGTCTGCTTGCTTTACATACACAAAGTTACAACAGCTTTCAAAATGGAAAACAATTTTTCAATCATATTCTAGAAAGTTAATGGCTTTCATTTCTATACCAACAAAATGCACATTACATGATTGGCTTTAGTATGAAGACAAGACCCAACAGAGCTTTGATACTAACTTTTCCATGATTCTTGTTCCTTTTAACATTATGCTTTAATCAAGCATACCAAGAATAATAGCAGAGATGAGGTTATCATTCAGAAAAAAATCTCTACATGCCTTAACATAAAACCAAATTTTACAAAGAGGACTATGTTTGCATTCAGACTAATTTTCACATCTTTGTTGTTATTATCACAATGTTTTAATCATTGTATACTTCTTCAAGTGTCTGTTTATTTGAATACCCTTCAAAGAATTTTATACTGAACTCCTTATTCAATCTATAGATAGATTGTTCTTGTTCCACAGTCTTATCTTTTTAATACTGCTTATTTCTAGTTAAATTGAGTCTGTACCACCCAGCTCAGGGATTGAACTCACAATTACAATGATGTCAAATTCACAAACCAAGGCATTAATCCACTAGGCTATTGTCCTGTGGGATAGACAGACACCTGGAGAAGATTGGAGGACACAATGGCCAAAACATTGTGATAATAGAAATAATGACAAGCATATTAGTCTGAATGTAAATAATGTGAATAAATGTAACTACTTATTCCAAATATTCAGACAGATGACAATGTTTGTTCAAATAAATACAAACTATTTTGTCTGTTATTCATGTAAACCAAAATTTTTACCAGAGCTCTGAATTTTTCCTACAAATACACAAGTTTTTTTTTAATCAGTCTATGTTGATACAAAATTTGCTGCTACTAAAAACATGCATTTTCAAAAATTATTTCTAAAATGAAATTACTATGTAAATATTTTAATATTTATGAGATATATCCATATTTTAAAAATTGTCAAATCTATTTATAATTTAAGTTAGGACCCACCAAGTTTATTAATTTAGATGAAAATCATTTCATTGTTATAATCAATTTACTATTTGTCGGTCAGTTAAATTCCATACAGGATACTTGCTTGGGTGAACATGTATCTTTCAACTGATAACCCATCACAGCCCAGTAATTTTGATTTCTTTTTTATGTCTCATCAACTCTTTGTGGGTTATGTAATGTCAAAACATATTTTAGATTGCAAAAATAATTCTTTTTTGTAAGTGAATATTGCATTAACAATTTCTTTTGAGAATAACAATGAATTTTTCTAGATACAAGTCCTACTATTTAACTGATAACTGGAGGGAGGAGATTGATTTATATCTTTTGTAAGGGTATTTGCACATAAGTGTAACAAACCTGATTGGAATTCAAACTTTGTTCCCTGCTGAAAATGATAATCATCAGTTTCAGAGAATAAAACTGTTTTGTTAATCATGCAGGCTTCAGGCTTATACTTTGGGACTTTCACACTTTCTAACTTTTCATACTGTATCTGTTGTAAAACTAGAGTAAATATTAATGACATTGTATCACAACACAGAAAAAATTGGTTTCATGCCTTTCCAAAGAATAGTTTAATAAACTTGAAATCAGTAGCTTTAAATTTAAACTCAGTTGACCAATCCTGATTCTTCAAGTCAATACTAATTACTTTAATTTGCAACTGAAAAAATATGAGAAATTACTGGGATTCAATAGGAAAAGAAACAGTGTCAAATTTGGCAATAATTTTAGTGATTAAAATAAAGCAAGTTAACATAATTACCTATTATACTTTTTAAAAATTACCATGATCATTAAGCAAGTTTATATTTTTTTTACAGGTAAATACTGTCAAAATGGGAGCTTCAGTGTATATTTACAGATTTATTTGGTTTATTGAACATGTATTGCTCACATGGAATTTGCAGGTAACATAAAGGTTATTGGTGTTGCAAGTGTAAGCAGAAATCCAAGTTCAAATTCTGGCCTACTCAGTTGCATTAACTATAGCACAAAGGAATGTGGAAAAGGCATAAATCCATATCTTTCCCCAGCCACTCAAGCTATAGGTTAAGTAGGTTGTCTTGCCTTGAGCTGCAGCTAGTCCAGAAGCATTAAAGTGTTGAGAAGGCAATGGGAAACCATTCTACTATTTTTCCCAAAAAGTATTGGCAATTTACCTATAATAAAGAAAAGGAATCTGTGGAGAGCCATGATCACTATTGTTTACCCAAGAGCCACTAAAGATAGAAGGTTACTGAAGGAGATTGTTGTATGGGCATAAGAGGAGAAAGTAAGAAGTGCAGATTATGAGGACATGTAGGATTGATAACAATTGGCCCTAGAATTGAAGAGATTAAGATTATAATGATTGGGGAAGCATCCTTTCAAGTATCTGTTTCAGAATTCTTAGGATGAAGCTATCTGAGTGGTACTTCCTTCTTAACAATGGAATACAAAGGGAATGAAAATAATTTGATTCTGTGTACATGTCATGGTATGACCAAACTGCAATGGAACTAAGGATTGTAAAGGGGCAAGAGGTTAGCAATGTTTTGTCTGTGAGAAAAGAGTTGTAGGGTGAAAAATAATTTATTACCCACAAGGCTGCATAAACACTTCTTAGTTTTGTCAAGGTTCTAAGTGAGGATTGGGAAGCTTCAGCCCAGATATAGCAGCAATACTCCATCTGATCTAACTTTTGTCAAGATAAAGTATGGCAGGAAAAGTCAGATACTGACTATTTTATTTTAATCATTTCTTCCTCGCAATGCAATAAAGATGTAAAGGTTTACTGAGTGTGAAAGAATATTAAAAAAAAACACTATTAAGGAGAGAGATCAATAAAAGAACAGGAAATAAGAATACAGAAGATAATGATTGACATTGCATTAAAATCTTTGAAGATCAAAGTTGATTGAGAAATAAGAAACCAGAAGAGAATTCCACAAGTAAGAAGTGCAAGAAAAGAAACTGTTAGCATAGAACTTACTGTTATATCTAGTGATTTTAACTGCAAAAGGATGAGACCTTACCACCATTCTAGTAATGCACTTAAATTCATAAAGTTCAGGTACCATAGAGGAAAGTTCATCAGAACAATTACCATGAAACAATTACATTTTCAGCCTCTTTAGTGATGGATCATATATATGAGTTCTACTTGAGATCTGAAGTGGGGTTGAGTCCTAATAGTTGTTCAAGGCCAGAAGCATCATTGAGAGTATCACCATCATGATGAGAGAAAATGCATGACCTACTTTATGATAATGAAATGTTACTAGCAGGGTTTTTAGCTCATTTTTTTCCCTGTTGAGCTGTTAGTGCTAGCGAGGAGAGATCAACTGCCAGGCTCTGGTAATCTAAATCATCTACAGCCCATTGTGAAATAGTATAAAAAAACATTCACTATTTAGACAAAAAGCAGCAATAATGAAATTATCAGTCAATTTTTTTTCTAAATGGAAACTATACTGTATGTTATTTCACTGACTTAAGTGAACTGTTGCAAACACAGTGATGTGTTTCTCCATGCCTTTTAGGTTTGACTGCTGTCCAGTTCATACTCCTTGGTTTTTGAACAGGTGTAGAGGTTTATCTCTTGTTTGCTGTTTAGGATTGGGTTTCTGTTGGGGCACACCCACCTTCTCATCAGAATGGACTGATCTCTCTACTACTAATAGGACAGTTCTATAGAGTTCTGGGAAGATCAGGTGACCATCACACTTCCGTCTCTCTAACGGAAGATACAGTTGGACTTTATACTCTTTCTGATTGTTACTGACTAACCTGCGTTCGTTGGACTACTAATCTCTCTGTTGTAAATACCTCTTCAGATATACCAGTATTTTTCCCTACGTATGTGTTTGTCCTTATTTCGATACACACACGGGGAAACACTCAACATCTCAACAGTTTCTGACTCCTTCTAAAGTCTTCTCATTCTCTTTCACTCCTAGTAACCCATTCATTGATTTCAGGATATAGATCTTTTTTAAGTGTCTAATCTTTCATCACAAAAATGTTAAGATATCAAGAATATATACAATATAATTGACAGAAGGAGAGAAAATAGAAAAACTTAAAAAGAAGTTAGAATAAAAATTGAATAAGAGAGTTTATTCATCCAATCTCTCACTTTTCTTGTTTTGAATCCAATATGCTTTTAAACATTCTTTGAAAATCTTCATTTGATATAACATTGATGATAAAATCTCAGAATGCATTTGAAAATATATTAAGTTGATGTTCAACCGGTTTTGACCAATATACTCACCATTGATCTGCATAGGATGTAAACTAGACGAAATGCTTGGATATTCAATTGCCATTTTATAAAACATTTCAGTCAGAACATTATCTGATTATCTTCAGATGACCTGTCATGCAGGAACTAACTGTATATTCATTTACATATGTAAATCAGTGAAAGAAAACTGAATCCTAATTAGATGATGTGAATGAAATGTTCCATCTATCACTCAACACAGAAGGAAGCAAGGAATAGTTTGTTTCATTTCTTAACATATGCCTCCATAAAAAAGCCCCTGTCAAGAAAACTGAAGTACAAAATAAGATATATTATATTCCAAATAATTTCCTTTTTAAAAGGTGAGAGAATGGTAGATCATGTTTTAGTTACTGTTTAACAGAAAATTTCACAGTATTTTTTTAATTATTTTTTATTAATTATCTTTTAATATATAAACAAAAACAACATGGAATACTGCTGCCATATCTGGTCTGTTTCTACTGATGTATATATTCAGATTCTTGACAAAATTAAAAGAAGGGTCTGTAATCTAATCGATCCTGATCTGATTCAGTCACTTTCCCACTGCTGTAACATGATTTCTCTCTGTCTATTCTACAAATATTTTCATGGCAATTGTTCTGATAATCTTTCCTCCTTGTACCTTGAGCACATGGATTTAAGTGTACTACTAGATTAGCAACTAGGTCTCACTGTTTTAGTGTTGAAATAGCTAGGTGTAACTGTATGTTTTATTCTAATAGTTTTTCTCACACTTCTCGCCTGTGGAAATCCCTTCCAATTTCTTGCTTTTCTACCACTTACAATCTTCAAAAATTTAAATACAACTCCAATCGTCATTTTCTCTCTTCCTGAACACTATTATTTTATTGTCCTTTCTCCTCCCTAAATTCTTCTCATTCTTTCACTCTCAGTAACACATTGCATTCTAATGGCATTATCACCTTGATTGGGGTGAAATGATTAAAAAAAACAATATTTGCCTTGATTGAATTAACTATTCATCTTATGTATAAAGTTTAATGCTTGCATGTATATCATGTAAATCATGATAGTTAAATAAAGTTGTTCATATGTCTAAGTATGTGTGTGCAAAATGTTGCATAAAATGGTGGTGTCAAATAGCTATTTAATATGCACAGCATAGATGTGGCATAAGGTTGAAAGCATGGAGTAGTGAGTGAGGACGGAACTCACTACTCAGTCATAATTGATTTAGCAAGACAAGTTTGCTAACCATTGCACCACATCGAAGTGCCCATGTGACATCAAATAAGTCATGTATACAAGTATGTGTGTCATATCTTGTTCAACTTAGCAGTTCTTCTGTGATATCCTCCTGCATAGCAGTAAATGCTGGACAATCTCCTCAAAAATGAAGAAAAGACTTGAAGCAATAGAAATGTAATTCTACAGAAGGATTCTCAGAATACCATGGACCAAACATGTGAGCAACAACAAGTTTTTGAAGAAAATGTAAACAAAAAGGAAACATATACTCAACATCAGGAAGAGGCAGATAAAATTTCTGCAGCATGTAATAAAGAAGAAGTGTTTTGAAAACCTGATACTCACAGGACAGATTGAGGGAATGAAGGCCAGAAGAAGGCTTGACGAACTTGAGCAAATGGATTGTGGAACAGGGTTTGGGAGAAATAACAAAGAGACAAAACTTATTAAGAGCTACAAGGGACAGGAAGATGTGGATGGCTATGACTGCTTATACCCTGAAGGAACATGGCACATAAAAGAAGAAGAACTTCATATTCAAATTTAGAAATCAAATTTTTAAAATAACTGTTTTGAATGCATTTTTCATCTGTTTTGTTTATAGCTTTTACAATCATACTGCTTAGTTATTCAAACAAAGCTATTTTATGCCTTGAAAGTGGTAACTATGTTAACATTTAAATCACAGCATTGGAGAAAAGAGAAATAAGCAATGTTAGCAGTTTTAATAGCATGTTTTGAAAATTTAATATATTTTATAAAATGATAACATTCTAACATGCTATATATGATATAAACTATGACTGAAATGACTAAAAACTCTATTGAACTGCTTTAAGTGGTACACTTTTGCTAGTACCATTTTATGACATAAAGATGTGGCATTAGATCAGAACTATGGGGCACCCAGTGAGGATCAAACTCACTAATCAGCTGTAATTATTCTAGCAAGACAAGCTCACTAACCATTACACAATGTCGAGGTGCCTGAATGATTTTCTAAGTGTAGTTTAGATGTAGTACAAGGCCAAAAGTATGGGGCACCCAGTGAGGATCGAACTCACTACCTTATCATAATTGTTCTAGTGTGACAAGCTTGCTAACCATTACACCACATTGAGGTGCCTCTCAAAGAAATGACTATATAGCATATGATCGAGACTTGGTCTGTGTAACACCAGGTACCATTACTTGTAACTAAATATAAAAAGGAATTTTGCTGGTTGATTTATTGAAAAACGTTTCTGTGATCCTTTTTTTATATATACTTTATTCAAAAGGCCTTTGTTTATAGAGTATTTTGCCATTAAGGCCTTTATGGTGTGTGTCTTTAGACTCAGCCTTTTTGTCTGTTAAGATACCCAAAGCTACAAATCTTTGACACCAAATATTTTCCAGCAGGTATTTGCACAAATTTACCCATTTTGTTTTTAATAAAATTACATATTTATGCTGATGCATCAATAATTTTGAAATGCTTTCAAAGTTTTGCCATTAAACTGTCTACTTTCTAATTATTAGAAATTTTGTTTTGCAAAATGTATGAGAAATGGAGACATGCTAAAATTTTTATGCTTCCAAAGAATGATTTTCTGGTTATATTGAAAATTCAGATTGAAGGAAATAATTTTATATTATTATATAAAACCTGCTAATTTGAACGAAAGAAAGGAAAAAGAAAACACTGCTTTAAATAAAATTCCTTTGAGCTATTCATTTCAGTTTTATATGTAAACCTGTCATTTTATCTTCAGATAGCCTTCATATTTATAATCTATTCTTAATCTTAAAATTTGGAAGATTGGTAGGAAGAGGACTTTTTTTTATTATTGTTTCCAAATTCTTCTTACTGACAATTTTTTTTCATTTATGTATTTGTTTAGTTGGCTGTTTTCTTGTCATTACTGTATATTATGTGGAAACCTAACTTGGTTTTATGATTTCTTGCTTTTAATCAATTCACACATTTTGACAAAAGCCAATTAAAAACTTTATGGACCTTATCAATGCAACAAAACCACCAACCCCAACCCTGTGACCCATCCCTCCAGGGGCAGGTAACTGACAGATACACAATAATTTGCACAAATGATATGGCCTATAGAGATATCATTCTGCTCTATCAAGCATGAGCCTTTAAGAAAACCCTGACTGCAGACTTTTGTTGGCTTTGTGGGATTACAAATGAAAAGAATGTTAGGGGGAAGATATATTTTCTTTCGTCATTAAAAGAAACTCAGTTCCACCTACACACTAGCACCAGATTGTACAGTTAGGGAAACAAAGCAGTTTTGTTTTTTTCTTCTTTCTCTTGCTTTTTCATTGTTAGTCCCCTTTTCCTCACCCTCTTAATAAATGAAAGTCAGATTGAAGTGTTAAAAAGAAAAATGAGGTAATAAGTAGTGGATAAACATGGTTGGAAACAAAAAGAAAAAGGACCTACCATAGTATTTTTCAGTACTTTTACAGTTTTTTTTTTATATGGCATTCTCCTTTTTCATATTATCTTCTCTTTTCTTTCTATTCATTTTCTTTGCTTATTTTTTCTCTTCATCTATTTTTCTTCTCTCTTTTCCTTACTTCCTATTTTACTTACTTACTCTATCTTTTCACTTTCTTTTTTATCTTCTCAGCTCTCTTCTCCAGTATTCTGAAGATTTACTTTATAGTCTCTTTAAAGTTTACCTTCTTGTTTTTGATCAAATTACCTTCTCTCTTTATTGCTCACTTTCTTATTTTTCTTTTATTTTCTTCATTTTACCTTTTTTCTTTCCACCATATTTTTCACTTTCTCTTTCTTCATTCCTTATCTTCTCATCTCTCTTTTCACCATTACTACATTATTCTCAAAACAATTTACATTCTCTTTAAACCTTTCCTTTTTGTTTTGCACTTCTTTTTTTCTTCTTCTCATTCATTTTTCTGTCTTCCTTTATCTCTTCTTTTTACTCTCTTCATTTTTATTACCAATACTGTTTCTCATCTTTTCCATTTCTTCTCTTTTTTTCCTCTTCCTTTTATTGCTACCAAGTTTTCTATTACCTATTTTTCTGTTGATGAGACATGAATGAGAAACACTGTATTCAAATCTTTTTATGCAAAGTATTATAATTATCAGCCTCATCAATTTTATCTTTAATGCCATCATCAAAATTATGATTTCTAGCCTCATCACTTTTACAATTATTCTTTCAAAGTTCTTCTATGTTCTTCAGGAGTTTGGGCAATCATGGCTCTCCACAACGCCCTGTCCTTTGTGACTGAGTAATGTTGTCTTGCCTTATTTATTTATTATTTCATGATTATTATTAACATAATTTTTCAGTTCCTTTGGCTTCTTGTCTTTCTTCTTTCTGCTCCCTTTCTCCTTCCCTCACTCTCCTCTTACCCTATTTTTATTCATCATATTCATTTGTTGAGTGATTATTTTTATTCACATATCTTCTTTTTTTTATTATTTAAAGTACCATGCATTTATTTGGAAAATGAAACTAAAATAAAGAATTGCAAGAAAAAGATTAAAAAGTGTTGATCATGTATGTTTACCAGACAACTTAATGATACATCTGTTAGTAATCAGAAGCATTCAATTCTATGTGCCCATTTCTTTTTCTTTTTTTGATCCACAATATTGTCCAAATTAAAAATATTTATTATATCCATTTATCAATACTCCTTTCAAATTTAATTTCTTAGAATGCATTCACCCACCCATTGCATAAGGACATTCTCCCATCTCTGCTACACTGGGCACTTCATATTTTAATGGTTCCAATCCAATTGTAACCATTTTATTTCTGTTTTTGCTTGTTGATGCAAATTGTGCCTGAATACATACAAACATGCACACAGGCACACATGAGACATTATTGCAAAAAAGACAGAGTATACATTAGGAAATTTTCATTTTTGTTAATAGGCTAAAGCATGCATATCAACAATATAAAATTATTTTTTGAAACATAGACAATATTGAACAATGATGAAATGAACAATATTTCTATATAAATGTTTTTAGACTTCCAAGACTGAATGTATGCATTTCACAATATATATATATATATAACTATTTCCCCAATCCTCTGTAGGATTTGGGCCTTCTTCAATGGCTGTAAGACATGGAAAATAAAATAATGGGCTTTATTCAGTCAAACTGGTTCATGACATGTTGGCAAGGGTTTTTGAATTCAGAGTTTTCTTTCTCCAAGATGAGTTGCTCTAACAAAGCTTCATGGCCTAATTGGTCCTACTATTTACCCATAGATAGGGGAAGAAGATATGAATTTATGCCTTTTCTAAGTGTGTTAAATATATATATATATATATATATATATACACACACACACACAAATAGATGCTGAAGCCTTTCCCCACAAAAAATAAATAATGATAGATGTTTGATCATTTGGTCAGATTTTGGCAAGGTGGGTTGGGTTGAAAACTTTTCAGCACACCCTTACAAAGATAAAATATATACATTAGTAACTTGAGTTTCATCCTTCTGACTAGGAATCATCAGGCTTGGTTATATTTTTATAAAAATATATTCTTTTTATAAAAATCTAACCTAGCCTGATGCTCCCAGTCCAGAAGGGTGAAGCTTTATTTGATAAGATATTTATATTTTATAATTTTATGTATATGCATACACAGTATTGAGCATTTTATTGAACTTTTTTACATTAGCATTGTCTAACTGTAAGTGTTTTAAATCTATATCTATACTGAAACCAAGGTAGTGGAATCAACTGATCTCCTGATTTTTAAAGTATATATATATATATATAAAGTGTACATTGAGATTGAGGTAAACACCAAGCAGCAACAATATTGTTTTATGCTTGAATGCAATCTTCAGGATATGTGTGTTGTGCTTTGACTTGACTGTATATTCTGACCAACGGTGCATTATGGGTTGTAAGGTTAATTTATTATGAGCTATGCAGCACAGTAGAAAGTCATGATCGCCTACATCCTGAATTTTCAATTAAATGCAGCAATTAATGAATAGTGTCTGGAATTGGCCAGTTGGAAGATTTTTGTCTTCTATTTGAACAATGATAAATCCAGTGATTCTTTGCAGACATGGCAGAAATTGGTACAGCTTTGCTGGGATGTTCTACTTGTAATATTTGTTATATTCACTTAATCTTGTGCCCTTGAATTACCACTTATTTTGATCCCTACAAAAGTCTCTTAATGTCATTTGCTGGAAGCCTTTAAAAGTCACTTAGACCAGTTCATCATTCAGAAAGATGCCAAATTCTAAGAGGATGGAAACACGAATTTGTCTCAAAGATAGTAAAATATAGTGGAATGAAAGGGAACACAAATATCACCAAAGAAATTCAATTAAAAAAGACGACAAACATTTTTTCCAGCCCAATAAATACATATTAGTTTATCCATACAATAAATACATATTAGTTTATTCACCATAGCAGGCATATATCAAATTGATATTTTATTTGTCCTTACTATTATTAAAAGATTTTAAGAGGTGAGTCATTTATTACACTTTAAATATATATATATTTAAATTATTGTTGTACTTTAAAAGAGTTTGTCTTTTCACATTTCACTTTCATAAACATCTTGAAACAGTCTGTTATTGTTATAACAAAGATACTGCCATGACAGAAAAAATGCAGACAAATAAACAAACAAATACAAGTGGTAAATTCTATATTAAAGAGAACAAAAAAGAGAAAGTAATTTCTGGAGGTTTCATTTATAATCTCTTCCTAATGTTGATAGATATTTACAATGATAAAAGGCATGAATATTGCATAAGACCAGAATAAGGGTATAAAAGGCTAGTTACTTCTAAATTAGCCCAACAATATCTTAAACTTTCCATAAAATAAAATCTGTAAAATACCGAACACTATCATTTTTAATATATGCTTTGCTATTCGGTCCAACATACTCAACTTGGTTGTTGTACTAATAATTTTTCAGCTGTTGTATCTTCTAACTTTGTTCAGGTGTTTTATCAGAAGACTTAGCAAAGATAAATACAATCTGGAAGCCTCAAAGAAAGAAAGGACATTCCCTGCCAACTTTCCGCACACAAAAACTTTACCACCTTAATACAGATTTAAGGCTCCAGAATTTAAATGCTAGATTTTTCAAAATTAAAGTGTTCCAGGGCAGTTGTGAGTTCAATCCTGGGGTCTGGTAGTGCTGAAATGTCACATACTCTCATTCAGTAAAAGAAACAAGCCAGTGAGAAATATACCCACAGAAAATGGAATGAGAACAATCTACAACTGTGGATTGAATAAAGGGCTCATTTCAAAATTCCAAGATGATTGCTGAATAAAATAAAACAACAACCAAGATTCTAGTCAGAAGAATCTTGTAAAAATGATACAATCAGAATGCAGAGTGCATTGATCCAAGCATTTTTGTTCCCAAGCTGAGTTACATGCAAAGAAATTGAATAACTTATCATCTGACTGCATTGAATCTTGGATACTTTGTAGTCTCACTTTAGAAAGACAATCCTATAATGAATTTGTGTATGAAATAATAAAAAAAAATCCATTGTAAATAAGATAGTAGCTTAAAGACTTAATCAGTAAATATGTTATAAAATTTTATTACCCACATTGGAATAGAAGATGATCACTGTTCTGCATTTGTTTTTTTATAAAAGAAAAGAAAGATTTGTTTGTTCTTTTGAAAGCATTTATATGGATACATATAAGAAATAAAAAAAACAAGTTGAACTTTACAAGAAAATATTTTGGATCAGTTTTTTTTTATGGAAACTAAAAAGTTTCTTCCTTCTCTTAACAGTCAAAGTGGTTGTCATTACATGATGCAACATTATAGTTACTTATTGGCATTTGTGAGATATTTTGTGCTCAGCAGGAAATGTATAATTATATTTTTTGTGAGGGTGGTATGATTGGTTGGTATTTAGTTTTACCTTTGGCTATTTTGTTGTGACAATTGTTATTGTTTGGGATTTAGTTTTACCTTTAGATATTTTTCTTGTGGTGATTGTTATTGGTTGGGATTTAGCTTTACATTTGGCTATTTTGTTGTGACGATTGTTATTGGTTTGGATTTAATTTTAATTTTGGCTCTTTTGATCCCTGTGCTCTGTATAGTGCAATTTCAACAATTAACATAACCATTAACAGATTGTTGTTGTTAGGAAAGACACTGGGTTAAAATTTTTTCTACCCTGTGAGAAAATCAACTTAATACATACAACCGACAGGTGAAATTAATGGACAATTTAGATGGATGAACTTACAAAATGTGCTAGAACCACAAAACTATTTGGTGAATAGAAAGAATAGGACATCAAGTTCTATGGAAAAATTGTCAATACAAACAATATCTAGAAATGTTAGCCATAACTTCCTGAGAACAAATCATATGGCTTGAAAAACAAAACAATTGTACTCCCTTTTATAGGCCCTGTATCATTCAACAGGTACTACTCATCTCCCATCCTTGTTAATGAATAAAGGAAAATTTAATAATAACTATGATTTTAAAGTTACACTTATTTACTGAAATACTTTTTCATTATATTACAATTCTTATATAAATGTTATAGATTTATTTATTAGATAGTGTATCAATACAAATAAAACATTACAAGTCTTTCACTATTTCCATGGCAAATGTTCAGATGAGGTACATTCACCAGTTCAGACCTTTATAGCTATAACCTACGGTGACATATACACTGGAACATGTCCCAATTCCCTTCATATTCCATTAATAAGGAAGAGGTTCCATTTAAACAGTTTTTTTCTTATTTTGTCAAAAAGACTCCCAAGTGTATGCTTCCCTGAACACAATAATCTTAATCTCTTCAAGTCTTGAGTCAACTGTTATCTTTCCTACATAGCTTCATAATCTGTACTTCTTACCTCATTCTCTTACAATCAAGCAACAACCTCATCCAGTAACCCTCTATCTTGAGTAGCTTTTCAGCTTTTCATTGGTTGATCAATTAGTAAAAATAACATATGTTATGCTATTATATATTGTATAGTAAATATCACATTCTTTTTAATTTTTCAGTTCAATTTTTGTTAT